GGTCAGGAGGTCAGGGGAATCCGTGGCTTAACCAAGGCCCAGACAGAGGCTCTGCTACAGGGGTCTGAAATGGTTGTAGGGCTGCAGAGGGGCAGCCAGGGTAGAAATAGGCAGCAGGTATAAACGCACCTGGACAATGATAAATAGCCAGTTCAGAGTGCAGTTTGTACTTGAGGGGGAAGGGGCTAGATGAAGAACAGCAGTAGGTCACTGAGGAAAGTGATGGGTTTAGAGGTAACTCGGGTCCCCTGTGGAGCAGTACCCAGGGGAAAGGGCACTGCAGTCTGGAAGGGACGTGGATTCTGACAGGTGATAGAGAAGAAGAGGCAGGTAACTGCAGGTAGACACTGTCCAGAAGGGGGCACTTCAGAGCTGCGGTAAAATAGCAAAGTCACTCACTCACTGAATATTACTCAACGCGCTGCATTACAAAACCGAGATTGTAAATTCGAGATTTTTCCTATTACAGCTGTTCACTCCACTGTTTAAATGATATCATTTATTCTAAACTCAGTTTTAAAGGGAAAGTAATTTAATGAATCATAAGGATTGCTTAAATCAATTTAAACACTTATCTCAGCATCATACAAAACAGTTTGGAAATTATTATGATAAATCCCTAATAAAATTGTATTTTTAAACAGCAAATCTTCCCCTTGGATGTTTGATTATACTGAGAAATAAAAATCATTTCAAAAGTCCAAGAGTAACAGCAAAAATGTAATTGATGCTCTTCCAACAAACTAATGCACTATGCATATTTGGAATACACACTTTTTGAAATGCGTAAATCAGTAAAATAATCCCCACAAAACACAAATTTCCAACAAATATCTAAAGTATAATTTACTCGCATAGTAATATACAGTAGGCAGCCCATCAAAATGGGGCAAAAATAAGTTTACTAACACACTGATCTGGATTATTCAGACATGTCTGTATCATCTACAAAGTCACTTCTTCTGAGGAGCATTTTTCATAATGCTGTTTCATTCTCACAACTAAGAATATAAGAACGGCCATACTGGGTCAAACCAAAGGTCCAGCTAGCCCAGTGTCCAGCTTCCTGAGTGGCTAATGCCAGGTGCTCCAGAGGGAATGAACAGAACAGGGATTCATCAAGCGACCCCTCCCCTGTCACCATTCTCAGCTTCTGACAAACAGGAGCCAGGGACACCATTTGTACCCATCCTGGCTAATAGCCATTGAGGGACCTATCCTCCATTATTTATTTCTTTTTTTGAAGCCTGCCAAAGTCCTGGTCTTCACAACGTCCTCTGGCAAGGAGTTCCACAGGTTGACTGTGTGATGTGTGAAGAAATATATCCTTTTGTTTGTTTTAAACCTGCTATTAATTTAATTGGGTGACCCTTAGTTCTTGTGTTATGGGAACAAGTAAACAACTTTTCCTTATTCACTTTCTCCCCACTTGCCATGATTTTATAGACCTCTATCACCCCCCCTTAGTTTGCCATGATTTTATAGACCTCTATCACCCCCCCACTTAGTTTCCTATTTTATAAGTTGAAAAGTCCCAGTTTTCTTAGTCCTGCCTCATATGCAGCCATTCCAAACCCATAATCATTTCTGTTGCCCTTTTCTGAACTTTTTCCAATGCTAATATATCCTTTTTGAGATGAGGCAACCACATCTCCATACAGTATTCAAGATGTGGGCGTACCATGGATTTATATAGAGGCACTAAGATATTCTTTGCTTTATTCTCTATCCCTTTTTCAATGATTCCTAACATGCTTTTTTGAGTGCTGCTGCACATTGAGTGGATGTTTTCAGAGAACAATCTGCAATGACAACAAGATCTCTCTCTTCAGTGGCAATGGCTAATTTAATCCCCATCATTTTATATGCATTTCAAGGATTATGTTTTCTAATATGCATTACTTTGCATTTATCAGCATTGATCGGATGGGAAGTCCTCCTGCTGGACCACGGATGATGCCGGACCAGCGCATCCCAGATTTGGGAGGTTCAACCTGGATTGCATCCGTGGCATCAAGAACCATAAACCAGCGGGTGCCACGCAGCAGCTTCACATTGGCAACGCCTCCCAGGTGGCAAACGGTGACCTTCCTCGGGGAAAGGCACTTAAATGTGTCGCAGGTACTGTCCTATTGCAAACTGGGTCCCTGCCAGCTCTTTCACTGGCTCCCTGCTGGCTTTTGCGGCAGCTCAGCCAGGTCTTGCCAGAGCTGCGCACCACGGTCACCTCTGGCTGGCCCCCTTGGAGTCGTGCCAGGTGAACAGGGGGTGCCAGGCCACCCTGTTGGGTGTGGGCAGACATGGTACCACTGCTAGGGCTGTGCTGGGCAGGGAGCTGTGCACAGGGCGGTGCAGTGCACGGCTAACAGCTGCAGGGGGCGCCCTGCGGCAGC